TCTGGTTGGATATTTACTATTGTGGAAAGTGAAACCACACGTTATAGGCAATGTAGGTGTCATGGTCCCAGTATGTCTTCTAGTGTCTTTTAGCTGCTGCCACAAAGTACCATAGACTGGATGGCTAATAAATAAAGGAAATTTATTTTTCACAGTTCTCTAAGCTGGACATGTGAGATCAGGGTGGGTTGGGTTTTGGTGAGAGCCCTCTTCAGGTCATTGATGGCAGCCTTCTCAATGGCAGAGAGCAGAAAAAGTCACAAGCTCTCTTGTGACCATTTTAAGGGCACTAATCCCATTCATGAGAACTCCACCTCATGACCTCATCTAATTCTAATCATCTCCCAAAGGCCCTATCTCCTAAAACCATCACATAAGAACTAGGTTGTCAACATGTGAATTTGGGGAGGACACAAATGTCTAGTCCATAAAAAAAAAGCACACCCCCAATGAGGATTGAGCACACAACCTGGGCATGTGCCCTGACCAGGAATCAAACCAACTTCTTGGTGCTTGGGTCAACAATGCTTAACCACACCTCCTGGGCGGCATTTTCTCTCTTTTTAATTTTTTTTAAATTTTACTGATCTTTAGAGAGAGAGGAAAGGAGAGGGATAGAGATAGAAACATTGATGAGAAAGAAACATCATCAATAGGCTGTCTCCTGCATGCCCAGGCCCCAGAAGTCTTAAATATGTTCCAGATTCAATTCCAAAGTCTAAAATCCAAAGTCTCATCTACTAGTAAATGCCATCTAATTCAGGTGTGGATGAGACTTCAGGCCCATTCATCCTGAGGCAAAGTCCTCTCCAGCTGTCAACCTGTGAAAGCAAACAACTTTTGTGCTTCCAAAACACAATGATTAAACAGACATAGGATAGACATTCCTATACCTAAAAGGAGAAACAGGAAAGAAGGAAGGGTGACAGGTCCCAAGCAAGTCCAAAACGTAGTACAGCAAACTCCATGAGATCTCTATGCTCAAGATGCTCTTCTTTGTTTCCATGCTCTGCCCTCTGGACCCACTGTGGTGATGGTCCTGCCCCTGCAGCTCTGCCGGGCTCCCCATCCCCATGTTTTTCGGTGGCCCTGCCTTCACAGCTTTGGGCAGAGGCCACCTGGCCTGTTGAAAACAGGTCTTCCCTTTTGTAACTGAGGAGGCAGCCCTGTTGATTTCTGAATGCCCTTTATGGTCATTCTTCCTTTGTCTTGTGCTTGTAACCAAATAGCTCTATGATCCCATCCTTATAAAAAATAAGAAGCCCAATACTTTTCCTTCATTCCTTCCCATCTCATTCCTCTTCAATTCAAATTGTTGGGTTTTATTTCCTACAGGTGTGGCTCCATGGTTCACACCCACCTTAAATCCATGGTTCACACCCACCTTAAATCCATGGTTCACACCCACCTTAATCTCTTTACCAAATGTAAACTTGGCCCCACCTTGAGTATTCTCTCCTGAGCATACTTTCTCATTTTTGCCATGTGGACAGGCTGAGAACTTACAAATCTTTAAATTCTGTTTCCCCTTTAATTGATAGGTCTGTCTTCAAGTCACTTCTCTCTTCTTGCATTTTAAGCAAGCGGGAAGAAGCCAGTCACTTCAACATTTTGCTTAGGAAACTCCCCAATCCAGTATCCAATTTCACTGCTCACTTCCACCTTCCACAAAACTCTAGAATTGTAATACAATTCAGCCAAGTTCTTTGCCACTTTATAACAAGGACTGAATTTTCTCTGTTGTTCAATACGTGTTCCTCATTTTCATGTGAGACCTCATCAGAATGGCCTCTGCCACCCATATATCTACCAGTGTTTTCTCTGCTCGGGACCACTTAGGTTTTCTCCAAGAAGATGGAGGCCTCTTTTCTTTCTGAGCTCCCATCAGAATTGCCTTTACAGTTCTCGTCATGACAAGGGAGACCTTTTCTAGCATGCACATAAAACTTCCAGTCTCTACTTACTGCCCAGATACAGAGCCACTTCCACGTTTTTAGGTATTTGGTACAGCAACACCCCCACTTCTCTGTACCAATATCTCTTACTTAGGGTTTTATGGGAAAATAGAACCACTTGGATAGGAGGGTATACAAAAAGAAATTTATTATAAGGGGTTGGCTCACGTAATTATGGAGGCTAAGTCCTGTTATCTACCATCTGCAAGCTGGAGACCCAGGAAAGCTGATGCTATAAAGTCCAGCCTGAGTTGGAAGGCCCAATAACTGGAGGGCCGATGGCCCTGGTGTGAGTCTGAAGATCTGAGAATAAGGAGCACAGTGACCAAGGCCAGGAGAACACGGATGTCCTAGCTCAAGTAGGGAGCACATTTGCCCTCCTCTGCCTTTTATTCTATTGAGGCCTTCAATGGATGGCTGATGCCCATTGCATTGGTGAGGGCGATCTTCTCTACTCAGTTTACTGATTCAAATGCTAATCTCTCCCAGAAATACTCTCACAGATGCACCCAGAAATAATGTCTTACCAGCTATCTGGGCATAGACATGGCCCTTTCAAGATGACATAAAATCAACCATCACATCTAGTTACTATCATGTCCTTCATTTCTTAATGTCTCCTGCTCTTTTCACACAAGAGAGAGGAAATTGCCATGCCCATTGTTGTGAACATATTTAATCACCAGTGATCAAAATCCACTGTTTTGGGGAGTGATGACAAATGGTATAACAGACATAAAATTCTATTTTGTTGTGATTGTTATGAGCAGCTCAGCTTTATACTACCACTGGTTCTTACAGGGATCTCTATCACATGGTGAGCTGGGAAGTGACCAAGAGCATACATTTTTAATTCTGCCACTGAATATAAAGGCTCAAAAAGTCCCATTGGTTAGTGAAACAAAGCAGGCTTCAGAAATAACATTTTGAATAATTAATCTACAATTTTTTTCCTGGGAGGTTATATGAGTGATCAGGTGTTTAACTTTCATTTTTGATAGTGATTTTTTTAGAAGTGCAAGGGAGATGGTTAACCCAAACTCTGACACATCCATGCAATGGAATACTACTGCAGCAATAAAATGGACTACTTATACATGCAGCAATATACACAAATTGCTAAAAGTTTATGCTGAGAGAAAAAGTATTTTTCAAAAGCATGCATACTATATGATTCTGTTTATATAGATTCTAGGACAGACAAAACTAATCTTTGGTAAAAACATCACAATTGGCCGAAACCGGTTTGGCTCAGTGGATAGAGCGTCGGTCTGCGGACTGAAAGGTCCCAGGTTCGATTCCGGTCAAGGGCATGTACCTGGGTTGCAGGCACATCCCCAGTGGGAGATGTGCAGGAGGCAGCTGATCGATGTTTCTCTCTCATCGATGTTTCTAACTCTCTATCTCTCTCCCTTCCTCTCTGTAAAAAATCAATAAAATATATTAAAAAAAAAACATCACAATTGTGGTTGCTTTGAGATAGGGGAGGACTGAAGATATACTGGGAAAGGGTATGAGGGAATTATCTGGGGGTTAGTAGTATTCTATATCTTGATAAAGGTGATTGAGTAACAGGGGTATATGCATTTCTCATTGAATGCACTTATGATATTATTGTATGTAACTTTTACCCCAAAATATAAATAAAATAACAGTATACATGCTGAAGTGTTTAGGGGTAAAGGGTACTAATACTTGAAATTTACTTTAAATTATAATACCTACAACAACAGATAAATACACAATAAGGCAAATAGAGTAAAAAGTTAACTGCAGAGAGTAGCTGATGATTATTCAAGTGCTCATTGTCCAATTCTTTCAACTTTCCTGCAGTTTTGAAAATTTTATAATCAATGTTAAAAATATAACTTCAGAATAAAACCTACTAATATTTAAAAACCACAAAGGGTACTCTGGTTGTGTTTTGTGTGTGTGTGTGTGTGTGTGTGATGTAATATTCTTTTAAACACTATCATTAGAGAAATTAAATTACTTGTCAAAGCTAAATGAGAATTTATTCCATTACTTTTTCTCAAAATGAAACCTAAAAGAGACATTTAAAATTATAAACATATAAGGATTTCTTTTTTTCAATTATAGTTTATACTCAATATTATTCTGTATTTGTTTCAGGTGTATAGCATAGTGGGAAGACAATCATCCTATATAATAAAGAGATAATATGCAAATTAACCCTCATGCCCTCACAAGATGGCTACCTACGATCAGGCCGGCAGGGGGGTTCGTGAGGGATGACCATATTACTGAACAAACCAGTTGCATGGGCCAATCAGGCTGGCAGGGGAGCCATGAGGGGCAACCAGGATGGTGGGAGGGGGGCAGTTGGGGGCAACCAGGCCGGCAGGGGGGACAGTTACAGGTGATCAGGCAAGCAGGCAGATGAGTAATTAGGAACCAGTGGACCAGGACTATGAGAGGGATGTCCGACTGCCGGTTTAGGGATCAGGCCTAAACCGGCAGTTGGACATCCCCTAAGGGGTCCCAGATTGGAGAGGGTGCAGGCTGGGTTTAGGGGACCCCCACCCCCAGTGCACAAATTTCATGCACCGGTCCTCTAGTATACTTTATAAAGTGATTTCCCCAATGTCTGAAGTACTCACCTGGCCCCATACATATAGTTATTACAGTATTAGTGACTATATTCCCTATGCTATACTTTTCATTCCCATGACTATTGGTGACTCCCAATTTGTACTTCTTAATCCTTTCAACTTTTTCATAATCTCTCTTGGCAACCATCAGTCTGTTCTCTGCATCTATGAGTCTGTTTCAGTTGTGTTTACTCATTCGTTTTGTTCTTTAGACTGCATTTACATACAAGTGAAATCATAAAACACATAAGGATTTCCGAGTTGCAATATGGTACATGAATGCTTATGAAATTAAATTTATAATTAAAAGCTACTTAGTATTATGTTTTGACTATACATCATTTCATTTTAAGTTGTTTTTTCTTTTGCTGATCTCTAGGTTCTGAAATACAAAGAAGGATGATAAGCAGGTGATAGGATTCAGTTAAGAAGCATGTACTATTTTAAAAGAACTCATAAGAGGTATTTTTGAAAATCTTCATTTCTAGGTACAAATAATATCACAGGAACTGACTTTTTATACCATGAGAATTATTAGAATGTAGAAAGCTTCTATTATAATTCAAAATAACCATGGCAGATTAGAATGTTGTATTTTTTCAAAGGGACAAAATTCAATACGGACATGTACAAAAGTATACCTTTCAGGACAAACAAACAAACAAAAAAACAGAAAAGGGGAATGAATCTAAGGTGTCAGCATTGCCCATAGTCAGCTCTGCTCACTGATTAGTCACTGTCCCCTGTGCTATGATTGGATCCAGCTTTCATATTTAGATAATATGGAGAAATAAGTAAAGGCTTAAAGAGGAGCAAGATGGCTAAAATTACAAAAAACGACTCCTCCAAGGAAAATCTGAGAGACGAGGAAATTCTATAAGACTCTTTAATATTGAAAAGGCCCAAATTTTGCTTGCTTACCATTTTCAATTACATGAAGTGTTTTCCTGAAGAGATTCTCTGAAAAACTAACAAGGGAAATGGAGTTAAGTACTAGTTCGGTTGTTCAAATGGAATAATCTCTTGACTTCAAGGTTGATTAAAGTCTGAGATAATTATCAAGAGATGGTATGGGTTCTACGTCCCTGGAGAATTATGTAAATAAGCATAACATCAAGCCTGAGAGGGTGGGGGCAGACTCCGATGAGTCCTGCAAAGACCTTCCTGGGCCTTCATTCTAATGATGTTTCACTCCACAGTAAGAGTTTTGAAAGATAGCTTGGTGCTGAGTTACAGTTTTTCTGGGTTTTCTATAAGGAATGGAAACTTTAATTTTGCTTCATTTAAAAATTCACTGTATTGCCCTAGCTGGTTTGGTCCAGTGGATAGAGTGTCAGCCTTCGGACTGAAGGGTCCCAGGTTCAGTTCTGGTTAAGGGCACATGCAGGGTTGTGGGCTCGGTCCCCAGTATGGGGCATGCAGGAGGCAGCTGATCAATGATTCTCTCTCATCATTGATGTTTCTATCTCTCTCTCCCTCTCTCTTCCTCTCTGATATCAATAAAAATTAAAAATATATATATTAACAAACATTCACTGTATTAATGTATAGCATTGTTAACTATAATTAGCAATACTGCATTGTATACTTGAAATTTGTTAAGGGGTATATCTTAAGTGTTCACACACAAAAAGAGAAAAAATAATAACTATGTGAGGTGATGGATATATTAATTTGCTTGATTGTGGTGATTATTTCACAATGTATATGCATATCAAAACATAAAGTTGTACACTCTAAATACAACTTGTATTTATAAATTATGCCTCTAAACTTGGAAAAAAATCATTGTAATGATTCTTTTCATTGGATTTGTCTCATAATAAATGATTGCATATTGCTTTGGTGACTATTTGTAACTGCACTTAATGTTCTTAATTTAGTTTCTGCACTTTATAATTATTACAAAATAATTATAATGTATTTTGTTATTTTTCTCTTTAATGTTAGAACATTATCATCAGGAGGAAAATTTTATGTTTAAATCATTGTATTAATGAGTACTTGACCTTCTTTGGTATTTTATCCCACTAACTCACCATTCACCATCCAGGGCCAGTTAGCATGAAATGAAATAAAAATGTCATCTTTGTGAATGATTTCTCTTCGTTTGGAAAGTCAAAATGGAAAAAAATCCATGTTTGTGTTTCCCATGGTAGTCTCTGTTTTTGGTTTCTCCGTCTTATTCCATGGCTCCCTTTTATTGTTATATTTTTCAGGGCAAAACTTGCTTCCTGTTGTGACGCTGTGCAAAACTTCATTGTTTCTCAAAATAACACTCCAGTCGGGACTAACATGAGTTACGAGGTGGAAAGAAAAAATGCAATCCTAATTAGAAAGAGCATTTTTAATATGTTTCCAGTGGTGAGTAAAGATTTGTTATGGTTTATTTGTGTCATCGTTCCAGGTGAATTTTCTCTCACTTCAAGTTATAATTTATGATAATGGAGGAGCTAATGAATTAAAATGCCATACTCTGTTGTATAAGATGTGCATAGTAGTCCACTTTAAAAGGCAATTTTGCTGGTTCTGCAGGGGATGGAATTTATATCTTAAAAGATAAGCGTTCCCACTTCTTATGTCTTGATGACTCATCCTCGAATGAGATGAGGTACTTGGGCTCTCTGCATGGTAATTGCTGGGGCTTGGGAAGATGACCATTTCTCACCTGGAACAAGTTTCTTACAATTGTCAGTTTGGGTGATTGAGTCAATTCCTTTACAAAGTACTCTAGGTTTATGCAGTTAATCTTTGGGAAGTAAATACGTAATAATTATTGGTCAGTAGACATAACCCCCATAGATGGATTTTTGCCTTGTGTGTTTACTGCTGGATCCCAAGCTCCCAGTACATATGCACTCATCACATATTAGTTAAATTAACTGGTGGGTAATGGTACAGTATCATTACAAAAAGAAATCAGTCCCTTAATATAAACCCAAAGTTGGGGGAAATTTTTGTCAGGAAGGACAGCCCATTGCTTAGAAATATACACTCTCCGAATCTTTTTTTTTAATTGAATTTTAGAGAAGAAGGGAGAGGGAGAGATAGAAACATCAATGATGAGAGAGAATCATTGAT